GGGGGTCGGACTTGATCTGCTCAGGTCCCTTCCAACCCTATTAACTATTAAACTATGACTTGAGGGGGGACATGACCTCTGCATACGTGTTGCTGCCCATGACTGATTAATATTCAATTGACTGGTGAAGTATTGTAATGCTACGATGATGTCATCTACCAATACACAAAAGTGAGAGAACTTTCTACCAAGCAAAATGACAGATTCAGGGAGGCTATAAAATTTCTTTCAAACAAGGGTGTTTTTACTAACCTCACACTGAATCTGTCAGACACTTGGAGAACTACCATTGTCTGCAAGCACTCTCAGTAGAACATTAGAAACTCCAGTCCAAAAAAAGGGGATTTTGACTCATTTCTCAAGTAAGCATTTACTTGAGACCAAATAAATGTCAATATCTGAAAGAATGAAAAAAAAGAAAAAAGACAGAGGTACCATAAACATTACTAGATGAAAACTAGGTGTGAAATAAGATTTCCTGACTTGAAGTAGCAATGCTGGACCCTATGTACAGAGGATGAAGTTGAAAGTTCCTTTGGCTCTGCACAGAAAATAATTTTTATAACCAGGTTATTGATTTATTTGCAGGATGGAAACTATCATAACTGCATAGAAATGCACAAGTTATAAGTAGTTAAAAACTGCTCAATTAGAAGCAACAGCATAAGGATACATTCTGCCATAGATTTGATAGTCTGATCCTTCACAGTGGCCGAATTGGGGTAACACATGTGGAACTCTTTGCGTAGATCATAAAATGAATAAAAGTAGTCAGACAGCAGGAAGTTCTACAGAGAAAGGAGAAAGAAGGAACATAAGTTGGCACTATGAACACTACGTTCAAATCCATTAAAAGCCAAGGCTTGTCCAGGCTGAACAAGGATCTTCCTGGCCATATTTCATGAATATTTTGTTATTTTCTAAATGACATGTTTGCTTTTTCTTTCTGCAGTTACACAGCAGTATGTCATAGGCTTGGGAAAGAGAGCCATACATAGTTCCCTTATAACCAGCCTCTATTTTATGAAAGAAACAATTCAGAAAGGTTTTGCAATCACAGAGATAAGCAAACCAATTGCAGTAGAACCCAGATTTTTTCCAGGATTGGGGTCCTAACCTCACATGAAGATGAGTGCAAATTAGTCAGGGTATACCAAGTAAACATCATAGGCTGAAATACAAAATTGTTCTAGTACCTAGAACACTAAGCACTATTGGAGCATCTTGCTTCCTAAAATAGGATTACATTACTCCTCCTTGTTATGGTCTTAACGAGGTTGTTTCTTTGGCCAAATCTGATCGATCCCCTACCTTTTTGGATGCTTCTGGGTGGAGAACCTGTCGAATGAGTAACTGGCCATCAGTACAGAGAGCATAAGAGCTTCTTCCTAGTAACTTCAGATCACTGGATACCAGCTGGCTAAACTAAAAGAGATAAAATTCCATTGTATTAGTCCAAGGTCCTCTATTTCTGGCCCACAGGCCAAATATGGTCCAAGTAGCCATGATATCTGTCCTGCAACCCCCACGAGTCAGAAAAAATTGGCAGTTGGGAAGCAGGGGAAGTTCCACGCAGCTGGGTCCAGCCCTGCCTGGGCTATTGCAGCACAGTGGGATCAGAGTTGGGCCCACTCACTGCATGTCCAGATCAGGCTACGCTGCTCCCCACCCTCTCCATGTATCCAGATAGGGGCCACTCCAGCCTCCCCACCACCCCAGGCATCTGGATCAGGGCTGGGCTTCTCCCCACCCTCCCCCCTGCATGTGCAGGCTGGAGCCGCTCCCCCTGCCCCTCCACCTCCTCAAGCATCCAGATTGGGACTGCTCCATCCTGCCTTGCACAGCACATCCAAACTGAGGCCAGCCCATACCCCCAGTACCCCATGCATTCAGTCTGGGACCAGACTTCCACCCTTCCCTGGGTGGATGGGGATGCCAGGGAAATATGTGGGGTGGGTGCAGACACTTTATGGGAGGGTGACGAGCAGGGTTCTTGTGAGGGGTTTTCTGGGGGAGGCATCTGGAGTGGACTCCGGGGTGAGACAACGGTGTCCGCTGTTGCTGGGACTCTTTGTTTGTGCCACTGAGCCTCTGGTGCAGCGGATCAGGGGGAACAGG